AAATACATAATTTCATATAGCGTAATGTAATATATAAAACAAGAATAGTATAAATTATGAAACAATCTTTTATTAAATATTAAATATGTCACACAAATTTAATTTTTATGTCAAATTAGTACATTAACTTAGTTATTTAATGTTTATTTGTGATTAATAACCAATCATAAAATAATGAACTAATTTATATTCATTGACTTGAATATTTAATAAATAAAAKCCTTTATAATATTTCTCAATAAAATTCAATCTTTTAATTAGGACAAAGGGAGGAATATAATATAAAGATGTATTGTTTTTCATGGACTTTTGACTCTTGATTCTTTCTTTTACTCATCAATTAATTTATTTATTTTTAAATCAATTTATAGACTTTTAGAAATTAAAACTACTACTATGATATTTTACATTATAATTTAAAAGAATTAATATTATATGAAACTATTAAAATATTTTAATTTTATAAAAAACATGTCTAGTGCATGTATACAAATAATAATAAAAGAGTAAAAATATATAATTTTATTTTTAGATCATTTTACATAAGAAATGTTAATACAGTAAAATTATTGTTGAAAATTTAAAACTTAAAAATACTTTTATTAATATATTTATGAAAAATTCTTACAATAAAAGAATAAAGACATACATGTGTATATTTGAAGATTTATTTTTTGTTKTTTTTATTTAAATGTCTTAACTTAGTGATTCTATTTAATGATTAAAATATTTTAACTAATGTCATTTAGAAATGTTGACATTATACATTGTTATTAGAATATTTTGATTTTAATAAAATGACATGTATGATGTGAAATTAAATCTAATAAACAAGATTCAAAATATTGATATGATACATTCTAATATAGGGCATATTGTATCTTTAAGTTTCGATGCACCTGTTATAAGTGTTATTACAAAACCCTTTAAATATAAATATAATTATATTTAAAACTAAAATTTGAAAATAGAAAACTAAAAAAAATGTGTATCAGTTGAAGTATTGATACACCTTTGCCAATATACAAAAGTGTATTGATACTTTAAACTATGCTAATAAATACATATTTGTAAATATATTAAGTATAAACTTGATAAATATTTTGATAACTGTTTTAAAATGTGCTTTAAATCATTTCAAAAGTAGATTTGGGTATTTGTGGAATAAATATTAAAAAGTTTATTAAGTAATTATTCAATGTGCTCGAGTATGTTTTTCTAATCCAGGTTTATGTGATGCATGACAAAATTTTAGTATTATATAAATAAATTTTCAAAAATGATAATACTACATATTTTTTTGGTAAAAAGAAAATATTTAATAAACAAAAGAGATTACAAAGAAAGTGGAGAATCCACCCAATTTGCTAGATAAAGGGAAATTGTTTCAGTATAGACACATGTTTCCGATAGCTTTTCTTTTGCAAGATTGTAAGCTAGCATGTTGCTTTCCCACCTAGAGAAAGCGAAAAAACAGCCCAAATCTTTACATTCAGCCAAAATATCTTTGCGAATAAAGAAGACATCAAAAGCTCTAGAAGGATTCTTAGAAGTCAGTGCTTGCACTATTGTTTTGTTGCTACTTTCAAATACAAAAAGACCCATGTTGACGATCTTTATTAATCTAACACTTTGAAGACAAGTATAAGCTTCTGCTTGAAGAGATGAAGCAGCTATTGAAGGATCAAAATTAATGACTTCACAACATCCAAAATGGTTTCTGACAATCACTCCAAAACTTGCCTTGCCCTCAGTCACAAAATTACCATCCACATTGATTTTCAAAACATTTAACTTTAGGGGTTGCCACAAAAAAAATTGACATTTTTTCTTTAGGCACTTAGTAATACTATATAATCATTAAGCATGAAAAAGATTAATATTATATAATAATATTTTAAAATATTAAGCTTAAAAACTTTTATCAATGTATTTAATAAGAATTCTAAGTACAAAATGAAAACCATTTAGTAAGTATAAGTGTTTGGAATCAATTCTATTTTTTTGAAGTGTTACATTTGAAATTTATTTTTATGAAGAAAAACTCATTGTTTGATTAGGTGTGTTACCAAAAAATGTTTTTTCAGACCATGCCTTGGAAATTAGGAAATGTGTGATATGAGAAAATGTCAATTTAGCATTTTCTTGTTTTTCTATTTTTGTTAGTAACCATATGCTAATGTGGTATTGAAAAATTCCTGTGACAATAATAATCTTCATTAAAAAAATTCATTTTCTAGGAAAATGTCATACTTATACAATACTGATTTTAAACACCAYCTTAGATTTGGAAAGATTTTTTTTTAATTGTACTTCTTTAAATATCTAATTGATTATATTTAAAAAAATAAATAAAGATAGGTCTTGTGTATTCAAGAAGTGAGAAGCGATAGATGAAGTTTATTTTTATATCCTTAATTCAAATAATAATAACGATAGACTTATTGTCAAAAACAATAATAAACTTATTTGTAATTTCTAAATATAAAATTCAATTTTATTTTATATGAATAAACCTTTTGAGTAACGTCTTTTAACTATTAGAGATAATTAATAAGAGTTGTAAAGAAATAAATTAAACAAATAATCTCAAAATAATTTAATTATCATATAATTGAATGGTTTTAAAATATTTTTCATAAATGGATGAGAATAAATTAAAATGAATTAATGAAATGACATAAAAGTTAATATCATAAAAAAACTTAAAATCAATTGATGAATGGATCTGTATATTTGAATAGTCATATTTTTCAAAAGTACCCCTAAGTTTTTGACATTTGATTAAATCCTCTTACCGTTAACACCTGTTAGTTGAAAGAGGGAAAAAACTATTTTACCCATCATTTTTCTTTAAATTTTTAAAATGAAACATTTGGTTTAAAGATTATTTTATTTTTTATGTATTAGAGACTTGCAACTTCTGGAGGATAGTCACATGTCTCTGAATTTGTTTAGGTAAATGAATGAATGATTACATATTTTATTATTTCAAATATTTAGTGTTTAACTTAAATATATTAAATGTGTTGTTTTAATGTTTATTTAAGTTATGTGTCATTTAGTAAAAAAATAAATAAGTTGGTTGTATTAATTTGAGTTATGTGGGCCATGTCATGTTATACATGTAATAAACAAGTTTATGTTCATACTTGAAAATTTGACATAATTAGTTAATTATGTTATGTTTGTGTTGATCCATTTATTTGCATACTTTGTCTTGATATAATACAACCATAACACAAATTGCTACTCCTACTTTTATTATGAAATCCTTTAAAATGAAAAATGCTGATACTATATAATAATCTTTTAAGAATTATTAAAAATGTGTTATTTGTATAATTTTATTAGAATAATGCAACAAACTTTGTTTTTATAAATCTTTTAAATGTTATTTTCTTAACAATATTGTTCTTGAACCAAGTTTGGTATCAAAGATTTATTAGAAACATGAAAATTCTTTTATATTATGTTATTTCTTTTATACTTCTTTTGTTTATTAGATTTTAAATTCATATTATTATATTAAAATTTAAAATTATATTCATTGTATTATAATCATTTGATTTTTTTGTGAAAGCACTATAGAAATTGATCTTATTGGCTTATAATGTTATGTTTAGTAAGAATACAAATATAGATGTGTATGCTTCATGAAAATAAAAAGTTAATTTATTTTTAATTTAATAAATTTCAAATGTATTTGGTTGTGATGGGTGTAAAGACAAATTTATAAGATAAATTTGAATATAAAAATTTGCTCTTATTTTTTAGAAGCAAGAAAGGTATTTTTACTAAATGCCTAAAAAATTGAATCATAATATAAATATACTTTGATTCAACGTTTGCACTCTTACTAAATTTGTTCAAGGTATTAGTAGGGGTTACAGCTATATTATTGATGTATGGAGTACAATATTCATTTTTTTTAATTTTCTATTTGAATGCCACTATTTTAAAAAAGACAAAATTAAAAACATTTATATTAATTGCAATTTATTTGAACCTTATACTAAGAATTTGATTTCTCTAATGCTGTATATTGATCCTATACTAAAGACTTATTAATAAAAAAATTCTAAATAGATTGATTACTTTAGAATTTATTGAATTGGAATATATGAATTAATGTTGTAACAATTTGTATTTAATGTTCAACAATAAGAGAACACATAAGTTAATATGATAAAGGGAAATGCTCACTCTTGTATTACATTTTTAGGTGATTTAGGTTTTGAGTTATTTTAATTCTTTCACCATTTTACAATATTTTTCAAATGTATCTTAAAACCTAATATTTCACATAAATTATTAAATTGTGTATTTCTTGTATGTTTATATTTTAACCCGTCATTGTTTAAAGTATTGAATTATCACCGTTTGTCCCCCATAAAGTAGTACAACACTTTTTTCTAGCAACAATCTAACAACTCTTCTCAAAGGTGTGGTGATACCGATGGCAGGGCTCAAAACCACATCATTTTTGGGACTACCCATTCTACATACTAATCGAACTACCACTCAATAGTCAATCATTTGAACCTTATATCTAGTATTATTGATGAATTTGTGAGATTTGAATTTATATAATTTGTTCACACATTGTAATTATGACATTACATTCATCATACATTATTATAACATGCATATAGGAATTACCTTAATAATACTTCAAATGATACTAAGAGTTAATTTTAATTGAACTTAAAAACCAAGGATAGCTTGATAACTGAGCAAAGATCACTTGAACCCAAACTATATGCTAGGATTGTAATGTCGAAACAAACATACTAACTCTAGTTGATGGTTGTTTCATTTTCATTTCTTTTGGTATAAACCTAAATGATTGTCTATTAGTATCAATTTATTAACTAGCTAGTTGGTAAAGCCTTCTACAGGTTGTACCAGAAGCTTAAGACCGAATCTCGCCTGCACCTGGGTTAGGTGATGTGTTAGCAAAAAAAAAAAAACTTATTAATTACATACAATAAGAAACATGGATTAAGAGATGAACATAAGACCAATTTACAACATCCTATTAATATCCAATAAGGCCCATAAATGGTTATGCTTAATAACCTATTGAGAAAGATAAGAATGTCACTTCTTGTTCATGGATGAGATATCTTCTTTTGAAAAGCATCCTTAATAAAATTCTCGAGGCATGAAGCAAAGCCTAGATACCAACAAACCGTTTCTTCTTAACATATTTGCTTGGTTGGAGTCTTAGAGAGGCTTAGAATTTCTATTGAAATCAAGGTTCCTAAAAACCACCTGACATCTGCTCCAACATTGCATCAATTTCATCACCATCTTCCATTCCGAGCTGCCCCAAGGTCAACACATACAAAAAAAAATAAGGAAAGAGATCATCAAAGAAAAATAAGAAAAGAAAAGAGAAAATATAGAAGTCTTGAGTATAGCATGAGGTTTAGTCTATTCAACCTCTTGTTGATTGAAAAATTTAATAGGTGTTTGACATTATGAATGGTTTTGCTTTCTAAAACCAAAAAAAAAAAAATGCTACATTAACAAAGATCATTCATATTGGCTAAAAACCTTAGTATGTGAAGCTTTTTGGGCACTAGGAAAGACATTCAGGTAAGATATCCAACTAAGGGTGTTGATTACCCTAAATTATTTACTAAAGATAATGTTTGGTAAAATTGGATGTATGTAACAAAAAAGGGGAGTGAGAGAAGCTAGGACAAGGCAATTGGTGTGCAAACATTTCTAGTGTATACAAATAAGTATATTCCCACATGGTAGAGCAATCATACTCTGATGTAAAGAATCCCATATATCACCATAATGGCAAAGAAATCATGTATGTTGCACTTCAAATGTGAAGTGCACTTGAACTGATAAAAAAAATGTGAAGTGCACTTGAGCTGATAAAAAAAATGTGAAGTGCACTTGAGCTGATAAAAAAAATGTGAAGTGCACTTGAGCTGATAAAAAAAATGTGAAGTGCACTTGAAGTATGACCATATAATATTAATATTTTTGGATAAGCTTCCCTTATTTTAAATCAATATTCATAGTTACAAAAAGTTTCTATGTTTTTTCCCTATTTTTCTGTTTTATAACATTTAAAGTTATGAACCAAAGTTAGATACAATTGGTACATGTGTTTCTGGGAGAGAGGAATTACTTCATTTGGCGTCTTATTTCCATTGATGCGCCGACCTTCATATAAGAATCGAACTGAGCTGTATTGCAAAAACTTGTTCTCACAATAAGAAATCATTAGCCTCCGTAGCTTTGTATTGCAATTGATCTTAAAACATATTTCACTCCCATCCTAACAATAAAATGGTAACAAAAGAAATCTTAAACTTCAAATGATACCAAGGAAAATATGAAATAGCATATAATAACAACACCAATAAATATTTAATATGATTTCTTTTTGGTGATGCTAGAAAATGGCTTACGCATAAAATTGATAAATGTGACACACAAGGGGCCATTGCATGGTATAATGGAGAAAGACGTAGCCACTTTGTGAAAATAAATAATGCCAAAAGTTAGGTCTATATCTAGTCCATCCAACCCAAGAACCTAGATAAATAGGACCAACATTTGGAAATGGTTAGATCTATTCATGGACCAGGCTTTAGGCTCAGCTTTACATCTCAAGTTTGGGCTTCAAATCAAGCCCATTCAAAATTTGGCAAAAGCTAAAGTCCAAACATGCCCAATGAAGAAGTCTAGAGATGGCCATTTTTATTTATGGGACACAAAAAGAGTTAATATTGTGAATTCCCATATTATTTTATCTCAACCCAAAGCCAAGGAGTGAATTGCCTTATATTTGTTATTCCACTTGTGTGTGCGTGTTTTATCTATTTGTGGCCTTCATTTTGGTTTCATTGGAAAATGGTTGCTTTTGTTCATATGACAAATGATGAGTTAATAGTGATTTCTAAATTATTTTACCTCAACCCAAAGCTTATTAATCCACTAGTGCAAATCTGTACGTGTCTTATCTATTTGTGGCCTTCATGTTGTTGTATATAGTTTAATTAATTAGATATCCAACAATGAATTTGGATTTTGTCCTCACAAAATCTGTTTTCACACTATGTAGCGGGAATATTTTCCCATGAATAAAAAAAAAATACAAGTATGGAGATGTTCCTAATGCACAATTGCAAGGGTTGTGAGGACAGTGTAAGGACAGATTTTGTGAGAACAAAGTCCTAATACTCCAACATAGGATTACAATTAGGGGTGAGCATAGGTTGGCTCGGTTCGGTTCTATGGTAGAACCTGGAACCTACCCTATATCTAGCCTTGGTGGTTCTGGGGTTGGTTCTATGGTCTACCCATGGAACCTGTTTTTCTTTACCCCCCCTTCAAAAATATAAAGAAAAACAAAGCATTTCTTTAAAAGCTTGATATTCAATAAATATAATATAATTTAAAACTTATATTATCTTTATTGATTAATTTTTTTGATGAATATCTTTATTGATTAAAATGAGTAACTTAATATGTAGATTATCGTTATATGGTTCAAAATTTATAATTTAAATTTAAATTTTGTAAATATCACCTTTTACATTACTTATTGTATACATTCAAACATTAAAATGAAAACAATTTATCAAATAACTTGAGTAACTAAATGTTAGAGTGAAATCATTTTGTAACCATTATTGCTTGGGTTAAATCTTCACATCCCTAAAAATATTTTGGGGTTTATTTCAAGGCAAATTCCACCAAGGCCAATCAAGGTTGATTCATCAGGTAGGGTAAACCACTAGACCCTGAAACTAGTCTGAGTGCAATTGGTTTCAAGAATTTGAAACTAGACCCTACCCTGTAACAGATTAGAAATGACCGCATGAGCTAAACAAATCGTGGCAAATTTACAACCAACAAATTTGTAATGGAACTCCCTATCTTAGATTTTTTTTAAGTTAAAATTAATTATTTTGGGATCTAATTTTGCAAAGTATCAATTGGATAAAAAAGCGGTAACCAATCAAAGAATACTATTCTATTTGGTAGAAAACACACCATTAGCAAAAGATCCAAAAATCGAAAAGCTAATTTGTTAAATGATCCTTAGATGGTGGTTTACTATGATTTCATGATACTTAAAGAGGCAATAACATAAATTTGCTAGTCTTTATCTTTTTGTTCATATACAGCATGTTATATTTTCTTTGGGAGACACCAGTCATATTTTCTGTTATTAGCAAAATAGAAAACAAAAAAATCAAGAAAAATAAACAAGGAACATAGCTCTAAAGATAGAAGAGAGGAGAAAAGAGTAGCAAGAGACGTGGGTTGGGGAACACGTCATAGTGCTCATGAGTCCCCCGATCTCTAATGTAATAATTGCTGGAAATATGTGAAAATTACAAAAGCGTCCCTAATAAGATGGCAATAACGAAAGACCTATATAAAAAAATAAATAGGCCCATGGCTCAATTACAATAAGCCCATAAGGTTAAAAAAGCAACTAAAATAGTTAATACTTCCACTTCTACTACCTTGAACATTAACCATCACATGCATAAATAAATTATGTATAGTATGTAGGATACATGAAATTGATAAGACCCAAATCATTTGATACAAATATACAATGATCAAGCTGCTATTGAGTCAACTCTTCAAAACTACAACTGAACTACTCAAATTTAAGAAGCCTCCTCATCATGGCCTTTCCTAATAATATGAACTATTTGCTGTTATTTGTTTGGTGGTCCATCACCGAATGTCTATATCACATAAGGAAATATATTCTGATTGCATAACATGCATGCAAAGACATATAATTGATTAAAAATTTCCATTATTCGTGAATTTAAAATAGTTCATGTTTAAAAAGATTTAAGTAATGACATTTGTTTTAAAATGCATTGCACAAGTAGTGGGAACAATGTAATATATGCATTATTTATTGTATAGTTAAATTTATCAATAAATAATGTATAGTTATATTCTACATGTAATATATGCATGATTTTATATTTAATTTATATTTTTTATTTCAGTTTTTAAATTTTTTATTTGTAAAAAAATGCTAACAATTGCATTTTGGCAAAAATAATGGGCAAAGCGGCTGGGGACACATAGATCTCAAATAATTACTGGAAATAAAAAAATTAACACAATTGGACATCCAACAGTAAAGTTATAACCTTTAGAAGTTTGCCATTACATTGAGTGTGCAACACATGACCCGATGACCAAGTTGAATGGGTCAACATTTCAATGGCCCAGGTTGGATGGTTTTTGACCAAATTCAAGATTTTAACCAAACCAGACCCAAAATCATGGCCGAATGATGGTTTGATCATCTGGGTCAATGGTGGGTTGGAAACACCGAGGGGTACTATCCAAAAGGGGGTGGGTGGAATCAGATTCAAGGCCAACTTTGCATCAATGTGCCTCAATCTACAAATTGGTAAATTTTCCTTTTTGTTGTTTTCAGATTTGATATCACTGCTATTATCATTGAGATGCTACTTTGAATTTGCTATTGCTGAATAGTTTGGTTGGTACGGCTGGTATGCCTACTGCAAGGGTTGTGTTCTTGGAGTGTTTATGTTGATCTACTGCTGTTTTATTGTTTGAACCGAATTGTTTCCTTTATATCTCCAACAATCTATCACTTGCTATTTATGAGGTACAGCCGTACAGGTACTAGATATCTATCCTGGCAGGTTGGCACAATGAGAAGCATTCACCAAATAGCATATCCCTATAATAAATTCCCAAATAAACTTTTTCTATCCCAACTGCAGGGCTCTAGTATAAGTCTTCCCTATTAACTCCTTCCTTCTATGGGGAATCTTCTAGGGAATCTTCTAAAGAATTAGCAGATCTTTCAATTTAGCTGAATATACTGTTAAAACTTAAAACTAATCTATAAGAACTCTTCGAATTCAGGACCTTCAAATAGGGTGAAGATTCCATTGAGCAAACAACCATATGGAAAAACATAACAATTAAGAAAGCACATAGCAATGCATTGGGCAAACAAAACCATTTGGGCGCACAAATATGCTCTGAAGAGGAATGTATATGACAACCACAGTAAGTAGTATAAAGGGTCAGGCATGCACATTTATAAACATTTACATGTGCTTTTAGTGTGTCATGCATACATTGAGCAAAACAAGTGAAACCATTATAAATTTTATCATCTTAAGAAAATAAATTTTCAAAAGAGTGGCCAATAAGGAAACAAACAACTAAACGATCTAATATAATACAAAATATTCTTCACCTGGCTTTTGATCTTGATATTTATGTGCGCTGGTTGATCCATTGCCTTCTTGCTTTCTTCCTGACCTGCAGTTTGAGACGGTTTAAGACCTAAAAATTAGTATTGTGGTATTTTGAAAACTGAAAGGTAGAGAGGAGTACAAAGTGTTTTTACAGAAGTACCTTTGCACTTCTCTACAATTGCATCAATTTCATCATTATCCTTCATTTTTAGCTGCTCCCAAGTAAAAAAAATATAATCATCAAATTGCTGAAAATAATAATTTTGTAATTCCTCTTTCTTTTTGAAGTATTTAAAAAAATTCTGTGTTGCTGATTGAAAAAATTGCTGAAAATAATAGCCAAAAGTAAGAGCTAGCCTAACAAAGAAAGATGCATGCCAGCCTTACCGTTTCGTGTTATATAAAGTTCACTACATAAAGGGCAAATCCACTGGAGTGATGTCAGGGGGGAGCCATCATTTGAAGGATTTAACCAGCATGGGACATTTCTTTAAATAGTGTTTCATGTATTTAACAGAATGCCCCAGGTTAGACTGCCATAAATAGTCCAACAGAAAAAGGTTTGGTGTCTTTGGACCTATAACTAGGATATGGATCTGGATAAGGAGATAAAGCCTGCTTGATATATAGGAGTGGCATGTATGACAAATCTGGAGTGCTTGGAGCATGCATATGGGAAGAATCTGGAGGCTACTATAAGAAGAAACAGAAATAATGAAATGGTGCCTCCTGTGATACAAATACAACAGAAAGAGAATGATAGTTAATGCATTTTTTGCCATGTGTGTGCTTGTATGATGAAGAGAGAGAAAGAGAGATGCAGTAATTGTCTGGCCAGAACAAGCAATTAAATTTGATTTGTGCTTAAAGCTCAGTGTGGGAAGAGTACAAATACAAATATGCACAGTGCAAATATATATTTGTATTTAAACTCTTCCCAAACTGAAACTAACTACAACCCCAACATTATGGAACTAAATCCCATTAGTTCTGGATTGAGGGCATATTCTGTGTATAATATGCACTGTACATATTTGTAGAGAGAGAGAGAGAGAGAGAGAGAGACTTCATCTGGTGTCTGTTCTCCAAGGAGGCGGATACCATCGAAAAAGAATTTAACAGAGTTCAACTCTATCAATTGTTGTTTGCAGTAAGCAATCATAAGCTTTCTTAGCTGGGTGCTGCGCTTGATCCTCATGAATACCTCCTTCCCTTCCTAACAATCAAACCATGATAAAAAAACATAAAAGCTATTTAATTTTTTGTCATGCCAACAAAGAAATACTACCATATAAGAAATAATGCAGCTGCCTTGACTAAAAGATTTTTGCCATGTTTTATCCCAAGAACCCATAACCTGTATCACAGTTTAACTAAACTACCACTTCTGCAGAGGAGTGTAGTAAGTTTGGTAGGATTAAGGGTTCAACAAAGATCCAGTAGCTGGGGAAGATTAGTAAATAATGTATACATGGATAACAAAGTTGACTCTTACATAATTCTTTAAGTATGAGATTTAATAACAAAAATCTAGGTCAATGGTGTAAGATAGATCATACATCTTCCATTTTGATCAATAAGAAAAAAAGATTACATTGAAAGAAAGAATAAGAAATGACAAGTACAATTATCCACTCCTAGTAAGAGAATGGGACAGAAAAGGCACATAAGCTCGAAAAATATAAAAGCAGGTTACAGTGGCTACCTTGGAGGGAAATACCTCAATGTAACTCAACCCTCCATCCTCAGTTCTCTGCTTATTCTACCCACAACTGAGTATGCGGATCTAGGTATCTATCTGAACAAGCTGTTCTTTCTGGCTGTCAATGCTCTACCTCTGAAATTTGATAATGAAAAGACCAAGCCCTACTAATGAGTCATGTATGTATAATCATTTCAAGTTACCCTTAGCCTCAACTCACTCAAAACCTGGAAACTAACTAAAACTGAAATCATGGAGGAAAACAAAGAGCTCAAGTTAATAATCTCTGATGTAACAAGTGAACAGTTACAAGGCAAAACAATGAGTGAAGCTGAACTTATCCTACTTAGACCTGTTCATGGGCTGGCCCAGCCCAGCCTGAGCCTGACTCAATAATATTATATATAATAAAATATAATATATATTATATAATAATAAAATTAGTAGTGAAACAAGTATTATATATTATAATATATAATTAATATATTATAAAACATCTGTCCAGATCGGGGCTTCAGGCTCAGGCCTGGTCATTTGCGTTTATATAATTAATATATTAAAAAAAGGCTTCTGCTCCTACACTTGTGTTTAGATCATGGTGTATCATGAAGGAAAAGAAATTATAAAACTGTGACAATGGTGTATCATGAAAGAAAAGAAATTCAAGATGATGTTTTGTATCACATCAAAAGTCCACAAGTAGACTAATTTGATCCTATTGTAGACTCTAAGGTGTTGTTCGGTAAAACTGAACTCTGATCTCTGAAAGCACAAAAGATCTGATTGTGATTCTGGTTTCTAAGTAATGAGAATTTGCTTTTTTGCTTTTTTGTACCTCTGAGTGCAGTTGAACTGTTTGAATATATGAATGCTTTAATTTCTGAAAATAGACTATTTTACAAATTCCCCCCCCCCCCTAGAATGTATTTGTTCGATAAACCTAAATTCTACAGCTGGTATTGTAAGCTATAAAAAAATCATGAATAAAGGTCCAGCCCATTGGTTTTGCAAGCTATAGAAAAAAAAGAATATCAACAAAGAGAGATGTCAAACCTCTTCTAGACATCAAAATAGTGGAAAATTAAGAAAAAAAGTTAAAGAGAAATGCTTACTAGTTAAAACATCACCATGCTCTGAAACAAGCAAAAAGCAAAGAGAAACATTTGTAGGGTTGATCATTTATTCCTGGCCCTACATTGCCTGGCCTGGCCCATCCTAAAAATTTAATATAAATAATATAATATGAAATATATATTATATAAATAATACTTTAGTATATATAATATCTATATAGATTAATGTATGCATACTAAATTTTACATGTATTTTCTATAATTTTAGATTAAAATTTTAAATTTTAAAATATAACTTTATTGATTTATTTTGCAAGCCTAGATGCCCAGCCCAGCTCGACCCATGGTCATCCTTAGATGTTTGAGAGAAAGGTAGGGTTTTGGGTAAGAAGTAAAGCACCTCTTAGCATGTTAAGACTATGATGGCCCTGTTAGCTACTAAGAGCCATTTTAAAAACTTGGAGGTTTCTCTCAAAGGTTGCACCAAACAAACTTGAGCCTCTGAAAAGTCATTTTCTCAGAGCCAAAAGGTTCATTTAGTGCAAACAAACACCCCTAAATATTAATTCCCTAAATATGACAGTTAATGACTTCTTTTCTTGGGCAGAGACAAAAGACTCTAATAAAAGAAGAGGAATACAAAAAAAATATACAAGATGGATAATAATACAAAGTATATACACCACAGATATACAAGTTTTTTTTTTTCTTTTGATAAATGGTAAAATGATTATATTGCTATGAAAGAGGGCAAAAAACCCTCAGGAATTTACATAAGTATATATGACTGTAAACAGGAAAATATTGTACATGTGATCTATAGCAAAATAAGACCATTGTATATCTTTTCTGTCATGCTCACTCTACATTGTGCTAATTCATCAGTGAGCTTAAGTCCCTAAGAATCCATCTAGAAACAGAAATGCAAGAGACTAATTATGGAGTCTATGAGGGGAAGGAATGCAAGAATGTTTGAAAACAAAACAGAATCTATAATCTCCAATAAAGATGATTGCAATGAGAATAGCATATCAGGCATTGGCTTGTGAAAAATCCAAAGGTTCCACAAAGGATGATCTATTAAGGGGTAAGCAGACATTAGCTGGTTTCTCTGCAGGAGTAGATTACTTTGGAGGCAGGGTTTTTGAAATTTAACTTCGATGATACAGTCTAGGTAATCCCAGTAAATCCAGCATAGGAGTGGTGAGAGATGGTAGTGGTTATATTCATCTCAGATTCTCAAGACCAGCGGGAGGACAAGGGAACTCTCTAAGAGAAGTACTGCTGGCTCTCATTCAAGGGTTAAAGTTAGCTTCCATGAAAGGATGGGAGACTGTCAAATTATTATTCATTGGCTAAGCTTTGAACATAATATACCTTTTTTTTTGGCATGAACATGATATACCTTGGGACTTGGATATAAAGATTTTCAGTCAGTCTCAAGAAACAAAGGAATTAGGTAACAACTTGAATTGTCCGCTCAAGTGGGTAACTAGATGTGTCAATCACCTGGCAGATTCTTTAGCAAAATTAGGGGTCACGAGGGGATATCCTGGACCTGGGATGGTAGTGGGAGGCATACACCTGGAGGTGCACCTCCAGGCAAGGCACTCCCAAAACATCTTGAGGCGTATGCCAGAGGTGCTGACACCTCTGAGGCGTACGCCTCATGCGCCTCATGCACACCTCATATAAAGACAAAAAAGAAAGAAAGGAAAAAGAAAAAAAAAGGAAAGGAAAGGAAAAGAAAAGAAAGGAAAGGAAAGGGAAATAAAGATCTCACACCTTCTTCACCAAGCTTATGATTACTATCAATTGGAGTATTAGCAGGCTTGGCTCCAAGTTTACCAGTGTCTTGTAGCAGATCTAGGATGTACTTCCTCTGAGAAATAAAGATACCTTTGTTTGATCTTGCAACTTCAATACCAAGGAAGTACTTTAAAGGACCTAAATCTTTGATATCAAACTAAGCCCCCAAGAATCTCTTTAACTCTCGTATCTCTGACTCCCAATTCCACGTAATAACAATGTCATCCACATAAACTATAAGAATGGCCACCTGGTTCCCTTTCTCTTAACAAAGAGAGTATGATCACTCTGACATAGTCTAAAACCAAACTACTTGGTTGCATTATTAAGCTATACAATGACTTCTTGAGGCAGCAAGAGCAAACCTTGCCTTCTGTTTCCTATGAAGCAAAACCTGGAGGCTGAACATAGACCTCTTGCTTGAGGTCACCATTTAGGAAAGCATTTTTGACATCTAACTAATGCAATCCTTAATCAAACATTGCAACAAGGGATAGGAGGACACGAATGGAGTTCATTTTGGCAATTGGAGCAAACGTTTCTATGTAAGCAACTCCATATGTCTGAGAAAAACCTTTGGTCACCAACCTTGCCTTATACCTTTCCACTAGAACCATCAGCATGATGCTTAACAGCACCGTTGTCAAGGCGACTAGGTGCTTTCCAAAGAGCACCTCGCCCAAATGCTAGGAAAAAATATGTTAGGTGCATGCTTAGGGGACTGAAACAAATATATAATATTTATTAAAATATATAATATTTTATTGGTTGATTTTAGTTTTTATAATAGAACCTGTTGCATGTTATCATGTTTTTGTTGTGAGGAAAGTAAAAACAAAATTCATGTTCAAGGGTTTCACTTTGACAAAAGAATTGAACCGATGAAGAGGAGAGAACACCAGCCCTTCATCGTTCCCACATAGTCCTCTAAGTCAAGGTGAGAATAACARCCCTCCGTTTTGTTCTCTATGTCCTGGTTTAAAACAATGGTTACGCCCCATTTTTCTTATCTTCCTTTTTGTATCTTTTCCCCATGTTTTTTGAACAATTTATTGGAATAAAACAAGGGCTCCACCCCCTTCTTTTATCCTCCATATTCTTCTTTTATTTTAGTATTTTTTTTCACCAGCTTTTTTGGGTCTAGAACAAGGGCTTCATCCCCTTCTTTTGTTCTTATTATCTTGCAAATTTTCAGCTTTATTTTGTTCTCATCATTGGTACCTAAAGCAAGGGCTTTGCCCCTTCTTTTCTCCTTCATATTTTTGTCTTTTATTTTAATATTTTTCACAAGCTTTTCTAGGTCTAGAATAGGGGCTCCGCCCCCTACTTTTCTTCATTTTCTTCTTTTATTTTAGTATTTGTTCCCTATGTTTTGTTGATCTAAAATAGGGGTTCCGCCCCCTTCAGTTCTTTTAAGTTTTAACTTCTAACTTGCAAGTTGCAACTCTAATATATTGTTTTTCCTACTTGAAGCAACACTGCAAGAAACACAAGCACAAAAGTGCAAAATACATAAAACCAAAAAAAACTAGTTCAGAAAGGGTAGAAATCCGTTGGCTTCTTATTTTTAAATTCCACCACCTAGGTGCCTTGGCACTTGAGCGCCCCATGGTCACCTAGCCTCACCTTGGC